CCATTAAAAAATTTCATTTTTGATGGTGTTTTTGGAATCATTTTTGTGTGGCCTCTACGGAGTAGTGGCGACATATAGGGATCACTTCTCCGTCGTCCGTCTGTCTATCCGTCTGTCCGTCACAAAACTTGTCCGGACTACTCCTCATAAACTACTAGTGCAATTTCAACCAAACTTTACAGGAATTATCAGTACCAAGTCTAGTTGTGCATATTGTCAGCATTTTCCGGTTAAATGATTTTTGGCAGAGTTATGGCCCTTTAATAATTTTTAATTTAAAAGTTTGTCCGGACTACTTCTCTTATACCACTAAAGCAATTTCAATGATTTTTGGCCGAGTTATGGCCCTTTGATAAAAAGGTGATTTTTCTGTGTGTTGCCAGATACGCAAAAGCTTGTCCGGCCTACTCCTCATAAACTACTGGTGCAATTTTATCCAAACTTTACAGGAATGATCAGTACCATTATAGTCTAGTTGTGCACTGTCCGTCTGTCTGTCCGTCTGTCACAAACTTTGTCCCAACATGAAATTGGCCATCATGAGGCAGTGATTTTCCTACTTATATAACAGACTCCGAAAAAAGGCCTCTTCCCAATTGAAATTTTCTTTAAAATCATGCAGTTTTCCCAAAAATCTTAACTTAAACCAGCTTTTTTACTTCCCAATTCAGCATTTTTAGCGTTAATTTTTCCCAAAATGAAGAGGCTAAGGCCTCTTCCCAATTAGGAGAGAAAAATCACTGTGAGGCGACACATGTGATTACTGATCGCTCTTGTTTCTTTAATTTAACTCAATAATGATATTAAATGCGCAATTGTCATAGAGATTTAGAGATTTGAAAATTTAAATTTACAAATTTTCTAAAAATTTAACTAGAATAATTTGTTCTGAAATAAATGAAATTTTTTTTGCAGACACAATTCTTTTTTATGGGTATTTTATACTTCATCATGTTTACATATAAACCAAGCCTTTTTATCTCAATTTTTCCTTAAAAAGACAGTGATTTTCCCCAGAAAATGGAGGCTTATTATATTCCTTTTCCCGTTTGAAAAACTGATGAAGTTACTACCAATTAAGTTTTTGAAATTCTCAAATATTGTGAAAATAACCGCAACTGGCTCATAAATTTTAGGTATAATAAAAATTATATGGCTTGTATAAAAAACAACAACATTTAATGTATGTGTACAGCGTAGTATATGAAATTTTGCACACAAGTTATTGCCACTACGTACATCAAATGGTATTTACAAATCCTGAAAAATATTTTCAGCTCCATCATGTCATAAAAACGTCACTGAAGCCCCTTTATGTTATGAAACTGTGATATCGTAAAGGCCCATTATAAGTCCCAGAAATGATTTAAATTTCATTACTCAAAAACTTTTTATTTTGGTGTCCAGAAAAATACTTATTGGCCAATAACCAGTACCATCTTAATCTTCTGTTGCCATTTCGCAATTACTACAGCTAAATTGTGTGTGATTAAGTTTTTTGTATGGAGTTCAAAATACATTTTTCTACTATAATGACAAAGAATTTCACATTAAATGCTACTGTACTGTCTTCGGGCAATTAGCATCTAACTTTAAACTGGTATAAAATTTATATTTGCCCATCCCTTTCTAAATAAGTTAAAATGAATTGGTTTCTGAGGCATAAATTGTGCTAAAAACAAAAGAATGAAGAGAGAAAGGAAGAAAAAAATAAACAACCAAAACAACAGGTCAGAAAAGAAATATCAAATACCATGAATCTTTAAAACATCTCATTATCAAAGAGACATTTTGACATCGCTTTTTATAGCTTTTTTTCTCCCAAGTTTTTCTTTTTAATTTCTTTTTATAGGAGTGATTTTCCGTTTCCAATTTATTAAACAATTAAAATCTGGCATGCCAGATAGTAATAAAAAACACATAATTTTAAGATTTTTCGTTTTCTTGTTTTAGAAAATTACAAAATTAATGTTTTATAGTTTCTTTTGATATTGGTTATTATGTTGATAATTAAAGTTGAATTTTAAGGGGGAAAAAATGATGTTGTTCTGTTGAATAAAAACAGGAGTGGCTGTATTAAAGATGGCAATTTTACCGTACACTCGGTGTAATGTGTTACAGCAATTTTATATGTAAAAAACGTGATGAAATCTCTAATTTCAACCATTTGTTTTATTTTGAGAATTGAATAGAAGGATGGGCGACATAATTCTTGAACCAAAATAACTTCATAATTGGCATTAGGAACATTATGTTTTATAAATTCTTAGTTTTAATGATAAAATTATTGTCAACAAATTTATTTGTATCAGCAAAATTGAGAGCATAGTTTACATTGTATATGCATTAGTTCAGTGAAATAGATCATCATTCATTGTCCTGAGTTTGAATCATCCATGAAGGACTTTAAATTGTGGAAAAGATTATCCAGTAACCAAACAGAAGGTGTGGTTCTACTCAGGTGTTACACCATGCCTGATTGTGCCTGAAGTATTGCATAGGGGTGCTTGTGAGGTCTTTCGTCACTGGTAAAGCTTAAAAGTTACAATATGATCTTCATTTATTACAAATATAAAAAGCAAACTTATGGTTACTTTGGGCATTTTCTTTCCTTTACCAGGGCCAGATATAATGCCCCATTCGTTATCAATAAAAAAACCCATTTTTTTCCCAATTTCAAAAAAATACTTCTAACAACTGCCAATTGATTTTCCCGAGAAAACCTAAACTGTTTCAGATTTGTTTCTCTCAAGAAGTAACAGGTTGTATGATTATACACATGACATATATAAGAATTGGATCAGTATGATATGATGTGTATGTATCATACTTAATAAATTTTTTAATATTTCTGAAATTCCACAAAATGTCATAAAATTTTTCCCAATTTAAACCAGAGGCCTTTTCCAAAATCAGCTGGAATTTTGAAGGCCCTGTAACTCATAATACTGCCAAGTTTGTTGTGACAATCATGGTTGATACAATCCCTTTCCATGTTAATTATCTTCTGTGGTCAGGTCAATCCTTCAATCTTGACAAAACCACTCAACACTTTTAGCAAAAATATAAAAACATGTCTGGACTGCGTAGGAAAAACTGTAGACTAAGATCAGTCAGCACATCATTCTGTGTGTAATTAGTAATTTCTCTAGCAAGTGACTGAATCCTATCCTGTTACTATCCTGTCATAAATCATTGGTGATAAGTGTCGATGTCTGAGATCATTTGTCATACTGGGGGCCTTCAGTAGTCTTGACTTCAAACCACTTGCCCCTCACTGCCGTGTATCTGAAACTTTGGATTAGTTCATGTGAGGAAGCTTTCCAGTTAGCTTTCAAACATGAGTTGTTCTACTCTCGTGCCTGAAATATTATGCATGGAGGGGCACCAGTCCTGAGTTTTTTTTCCACCAGTAAAGCTGGAAAGTAGCCTTTTGACCTTTAAAGTGTTGGTGCGACATTATGCTGGTAAACCAAACTAAAAATCAACTGTCCGCATCTGAAAATATTACCAGCAACCACCTGGTTTACCAAGTTTGATGCATTCCCTTCTGAGCTATGCTGGGGTTTATAGGCAAGTCCATTTAAGATATTATTAGCTTGGTAAGGGCTAAGCAAGAAATTTGATCTTCAAACAAGTAAATGATAGTGGAATCAAGAAAACATTCTTGTATCATACACATCCTATGATCTTATTTTGCAAATCATTTCCAACTATTTCAAACTTCTGTTACCATGCAGGCAAGTTATGCTATTATTTCAACGGAAACCAGGAAATTTGCAATTTTCAAGCTCGTTTCTTCAGATCTTCTTAAACAATTCAATTTAAACACAAACTTTGCAATCTATTTCACACATAACAAATAGGATCCAACTATAAAAAACAATTTTGATTAGAATTTTAAATGAAATGACATGGTAAAAAAATGTTTAGAGCAAATTTTATTCTCGTTTTTTGTCAGAAAGTGAGTTTTTGTCCATTACAATGGAAATAGGGTTTTGTTTTATAGGCAAAACATGAACTTGAAATGGTTTCTGTGAAAACTGGAGAAGAAAAAAAATTTACAAAACCGAGCTTTTCTCTTGTTTTAAGCTCTGCACCATGCAAAAGATTTAATAACATGCTTGTATAATAAGGAAAATCCAAACAGCCAGAGAAATTGCCAAATTCTGTGTTAGAAGCTATGTCACCTTAGTGCAATAACTGCATAACTGATAGTAAATTTAGAAGGACTTAACCCATTACTGCACTAAGGTACGTGATAAGCTATATATAGTCTTTTAAAAAGGAAGCTTCAAATGTGATCAATGTATATTGTTACCTAAAGAAGCAAATATGTATGGCTGTATAAAACAAATATGTATGGCTGTATAAAACAGTAATACTTTTCAATTAAATGGAATTGTTCCCCGGTCAAAAAGAACTGCAAGACAAGTTAAACGATTTATTAGTTTCATAGTTAAACATGAGCCTTGATCATGCAGGTATTTGAATACTTCTTAAAGGGGAATTAATCAGTGATAATCAAAACCAGAGTTATTGGTCTTGATCATTGACATACAATTATGACCCCAAAGTCATGTGTGAAGTCTTTTAAATTGGTGTGGTGTTAACTGATTTTAGATTACTCAAGCCTTAAAAAATAAGGTATTATAATGTATACTGTCTCTTATAGCATCATGTTATTCCGAAGAAGAATTCCCTCTGATATGATCAAATTTAAATATCATGTGACTTATATAGGCTTCTAAAATCCAAATTATGCAAATTATTTGCTTTTCTTTGAAGCATTACACATGCATGGTGCCATTGTTGTTGCTGTTTATTTTTAATACAATTCTAATGCTTGTCAATCTTTAACCTATTAGAATCTGATTTATACAAGTTGAAGGTGAGAGGTCATATTGCATACAAATGGATAAAGTTTACATGCTTGAAGTTAGGTAATAATAATTTTATTCATATTTTAATACATTTTCTTTGCACTCATTATTTTCCAGGTAAAGGGCATGGTTTACAGATAACCCCTTTACCAGCTGGCCATATGATTGGTGGGACCATTTGGAAAATTCTGAAAGAAGGCGAAGAGGAAATTGTTTATGCTGTAGACTACAATCATAAGAAAGAAAGGTTTGAAATACATAAAATTTTAGCAGAGCCATGACAAAACCAACATAGTGCATTTGGGACTAGCATGGATCCAGACCAGTTTGCGCATTAGCGCAGACTGATCAGGATCCATGCTATTCGCTATCAGCTTCTCTATTTGTTATAGGGTTTGTAAGGGAACAGTATGGATCCTGATCACACTGCACAGATGCGCAGACTGGTCTGGATCAATTCTGGTCACAAAGGCACTATGTTGGTTTCGTCATGGCGTGGCTCAATTATATTGTTTATTTGTGATGCTTGGGCAGATATACTGCTTCCATTTAAGACGTTTTCATTGGAAGTTTAGATAGATTTATTTCAACATAAAATGTACATCTACATGGCAATTACATGTTTTAAAACATGCACAAAGCTATTGATACACATGAATGAATGAAAAATAAAGACATGTCAGTCAACATTATATGTTAAGGATAGCATGAAAAATTCTATTTTTACTGTCTGACAGGTACTAGTTTGATATCTGAAAAAGCTTGGGCATAATTAACAGTACATTTGTAAAAACTATTTTCAGAATTAATTTTTACTAGTACTTGGCTTATTTGTGACACAATGTTAAGAGGATAGTCTAAGGGACTGGTTATCATGCTTCATAACAATGTGACTTGATATTAAGACTCATGCTTTTGACAACGTGAATTTCTACGTAACTTTAACTTGCTTGAGATTCATGTGTCAACAGCGTCATATATTATGTGTGTTGTTTTAGTTTTATATGTCAATTTTGTCAAATAGCATCTGAGCCGCGTCATGACAAAACCAACATAGTGGGTTTGCGACCAGCATGGATCCAGACCAGCCTGCGCATCCGCGCAGTCTGATCAGGATCCATACTGTTGGCTTTCAGTTTCTGTACTTGTTGTAGGGTTTGTAAGCGAACGACATGGATCCTGATCAGACTGAGCAGATGCGCAGGCTGGTCTGGATCCATGCTGGTCGCAAACCCATTATGTTGGTTTTGTCGTGTGTTGCTTTGTTTCATGTTGCTTTGGTTTCATCCTTCAATTTTGTCATATAACATGTGTGTTGCTTTGGTTTCATCCGTCAACTTGTCACATAGCATGTGTGTTGCTTTGGTTTCATCCGTCAATTTTGTCATGTAACATGTGTGTTGCTTTGGTTTCATCCGTCAATTTGTCACGTAACATGTATGTTGCTTTGGTTTCATTTGTCAATTTTGTCATGTAACATGTGTGTTGCTTTGGTTTCATCCGTCAATTTTGTCATGTAACATGTGTGTTGCTTTGGTTTCATCTGTCAATTTTGTCATGTAACATGTGTGTTGCTTTGGTTTCATCCGTCAATTTTGTCATGTAACATGTGTGTTTCTTCAGGCCCATATTTCCTCATTATGTCTCCCCCACCTCGGGGGGAGACATATTGTTTTTGCCCTGTCCGTCCGTCAGTCCGTCCGTCCGTCAGTCCGTCTGTCCATTCTTCGTTTCCGGACGATAACTAGAGTTCCTTTTGACCTACAGCCCTCAAACTTCATAGGATGATTGGTCTTATAGAGCTGATGATCCCTATTGTTTTTGGGGTCAGTAGGTCAAAGGTCAAGGTCACACTGACCATTGGTCAATTTCTCGTTTCCGGATGAAAACTAGAGTTCCTTTAGACCTACAGACCTCAAACTTCATAGGATGATTGGTCTTATTGAGCAGATGATCCCTATTGTTTTTGGGGTCATTAGTTCAAAGGTCAAGGTCACAGTGACCTTTGGTCAATTTCTCGTTTCCGGATGATAACTAGAGTTCCTTTTGACCTACAGCCCTCAAACTTCATAGGATGATTGGTCTTATAGAGCAGATGATCCCTATTGTTTTTGGGGTCAGTAGGTCAAAGGTCAAGGTCACAGTGACCGTTGGTCAATTTCTCATTTCCGGACATCGCTTTAAACAAATAATAAACAAGGCTACTACAGCACACAACACACTTATTGACCATATCTACCAGAGAGGCTTGATTGTGAAAACGAGTGGAGTCATCCCAACACACTACAGTTATCATGATTTGACATACATTGAAATTTGAGTTGTCTTTCAATAGTGTAAAAAATCTGACAATATGAACGTTTGTTTCAAGTATCATCAAAATCCTTCAAAGGGTTGAAGAGTTATGGAGCAGACACAATTTCCTTTAATTTCGTTTGTGAAACTATATATGATATGACATTCAAGTGTCAAGTAGACCTTGACCTTGGAACCAGCCATACAAAACATGTACTCTACACGTTCTCTGGATGTGGTGAATTTTTGTTTCAAGTATCTACCAGAGAGGCTTCATTGTGAAAACGAGTGGAGTCATCCCAACACACTACAGTTATCATGATTTTACATACATTGTAATTTGAGTTGTCTTTCAATAGTGTAAAAAAATCTGACAATATGAACGTTTGTTTCAAGTATCATCAAAATCCTTTAAAGGTTTGAAGAATTATGGAGCAGACACAATTTCATTTAATTTCATTTGTGAAACTATATATGATATGACCATCAAGTGCAATTTCGTTTGATGCCCGCCTGCCATACGCTGATTGAATAACCAGGATTTTCAAAATTGAATACCTGGTTAAAAACAAACAGTTTAGGAAGCATCTTCTCATACAACCTTAACAATAGAAACCATCCATAGACAGCCTTCATTGAAGTGACTACCGGGTATTTACATTATTTATCTCCATTTCCATTCCTGTTTCCATTCACAGTTATTCTCAGCAGTGGGGGAGACATGCGCTTTTTTACAAAAGCATCCTCTAGTTTGACATTTGTAATAGTTAGGTCTAAAAAGCAGACTCTGGAGTGATTAAAATAAGCTGCAAGCTTTCCTCATCAAAGAGCCTAAATCAATAAACTCAAATTTGAAGTTGAATATTTTGTCTTTTGTTCTACTTGCAGACATTTAAATGGCTGTATTTTGGAAGGAAAGTACTTTTCCCGGCCTCATTTAATGATAACTGATGCATTTAATGCCAACTATAACCAGTCTCGGAGGAGAGTCAGGGATGAGCAGCTGATGAGTAAGTATTTTTAAAAATCAGTTTATTGTAAGTATGCTTTTGTAGTTGTTTTTTCTAAAATAGAATTTATTCAGTTAAACATGTTTGTAGAAAAGTTGAGTCTTAGGAACATTTTTAATTCGTAACAGAAAGATAAAGTTCCATTAGAAAAATTCTCAGTGTGGTAGGATATCAAACTTGCAACATCCCACATAACCAAAATAACAATGCTCTAGACCACTAAGCAAAAGGATCTATTTCCTGACACAGTTATAATAGTTTGTACTTATAGTTATAGAGGTAGGTGTGCATTCAGCGATAGCACACACATATTCTTCATTACAAATGCTTAAAATGTTAATTTAATATTCAGATTCTTTATGTCTAAAAAAATCTTTTTAAATTCTATTGCCATAGTTTTTTCAAACTGTCCCATCCAAAACCAAAAGGTAGATATGTAAATGTAGGATAAAATAAAAAAACAAAACACAAAAGTTTTTCTTGATTTTGAACATCAGGCAATTTCTTTTTATTACTTTTCTTGGCTTTCCCTTCCTTTGTCATGTAGTATCTAATAAAGTCAACATGCTTTTCCTTCCTCTACAGATATTTATTTTAATGTTTAGGCAGGTTTAGAATTTTTAAAAACATAAAGAGGTCACCAAAATTTTTTGCATGATTTTCAATAATCACTCACCCTCATTTACTCTGAATCCTTGTCAAATGTTATAATGTAAAAATGTATTATATTTTACACATAAAACAAGACAAAATAGCCAAATCATGTTTAAGTAACCTCTGGATTGCAAATGTAACCTTCATGTAGTTGAGTGACTTCAAGGTCAATGATGTACCAATAAATATTTGGCATTGTATGTTGTTTTAATATCATATGTCTATGTGGTATTTTGTTTTGCCAGCACCTGTCAGTGGGTAATCTCACCTTTATATCTATCTGTCTAAGACTTTTTGATATAACCTTGCTAATCATCTAAAGGTGATTATACAAATATTAAAAACAAAACTTGTTTTCTTTAAATCTGTAGTCCTTGTTTCATAAACATGTAGTTTACTACATAGGATGCTTCTGAATGGCTGTTGGCTTTATTCATAGCCTTGAGGTTATAAAACTTTTGTCTGAGTTTGTCTTTTATTGTAACTTCTTTCCTTCTGTTCATCCATCTGTCCATCCATCTGTCCATCCTCGTACCCTACTTGGCCGTGCAAAGGGGGCATTTGTCAGTTTCCAACAACAGTTATCATTTCTAAATGTCTGGGTCAGTGTACATTCTGTGGCAATTCTGACCAATCAAATAACAGAAATCTGAGTTTGAGCAAAGAGAATTTCTTTGTAACTTGAAATATTGTTCTTGGTAATAATTATTCTTGCAGTGCTCTGTAAGACCTCATATGAAATTGTTGTACTCCTGTATATATCTTTTTTAAGATTTTTGTTTTATATCTTCCATAGAGGGTAAAATTTCAAGAAAACACTGTATTTTACATACTCACTGTAAAGTGAAGTTTTAGGGACCAGTAAAGCCTTGTGTTTAAGATTGAAGTAATGGCTGTTTTGTTGTTATAACTTCAATATTTTCTATTTTCAGCAACCATTTTACAAACAATGAGACGTGATGGAAATGTTATGATAGCTGTGGATACAGCTGGCAGAATGCTAGAACTTGCACAACTTCTGGTATGATTTCATATTTCACCTTAATATTATTAGCTCACCAGAGCCAAATGCTCAGGGTGAGCTATTAGTTTATTATTTATTATGTTTATTATGAAGAAAAAAAGCTAAAACAATCAGTGTTGTGAAATTATATTACTAGAGGGGCAAGTTAAAGTTGAGCTGTACTTGCCGAAAGACCTGGACTTGCCTTTCAGCCAGTTCTTTTGAAAAATAATTTCCAACACTGAAAAGCAGTTGTTTCTGGTGAGCGACTCAGGGCCATCATGGCCCTCTTGTCTAAATATTATCCTACACCAAAAAGGTGATGGAGGATATGTTAATAGTCTTCATCCTTCCTTCTGTCTATTATTTTTGTCTGGTGCATATCCTGAAAAAGTATTTGAGATATCAATTTGAAATTCATGAAGTTGATATTCAAGACAAGTGCAGTGCACACAAGAATGATAACTATACTCTTCATAGTATTTTACTTATTTCCCTTTATCATTTTCTATGCTAAGCATTTGTCAAGATAGGTCATTTAGTATTTGGGATATCAGCTTGAAATTTTGTAAGTTGAATTATCTCATTGAGCAGGAGTGGTATCTACTAGAAAGGTAACTCAACAAAAATGGTATCTCAAGACTTGATTGTTTTTATAGTTATTGCTCTAAATGGTGATATTTTTGCATAATTTTTCTCAGGTTCATAGCTTAAGTAGTATTTAAGATACCAACTTGAAACTCAAAGTGGACAGATTTCATTGCAAAAGGAGTGCAATGCTTAGTTTAAACATATTTTATTTCTCAGAATATATATACATGTTATAATTCACAATATACAGATGCAATTCAAATATTCTCAAAAAACAGGATTAGAATGAAAGACAACATGTCTTATGAAATTCTCCTATGCTTAAGTATGATGAATCAACTTTTGTGATATTAATTTGAAACTTCACTGGGGTATAGATCACCGTAGAGTAGAATACATTTGGCAATATTGACATCTTTCTAGTTCATGCTATTTGTTATTTTAAATGCTAAATTTGCAATTTATAATTTTTTTACCAGGATGTTTCTTAAAACATTGAGATATCAGCTTGTTAGGTGAATAACTCTCATAAGTCCTATACTGTGTTAGTGCCACGTAAAACCCAACAGCTTTTTTCCTTACTTTCTCTGACAAGTTGTTATTGGAACCAGTCATTTGTTTTCAGAATGGTTCCCATTTTATCTTTTATTTATTAAACAGTTGAAAGGTTTGTTTTCATCCTTTTGATGAAAACTCTTACTATACATCCCAGTGTTTGGAAAATAATAGAAAGTCAGTTTGAAAATTAAATGTTAAATGAAAAGTACCAATTTATGTATCTTAAATAAACACTTTTGGTTTTGATAATGATAGCTTCTAGAAAATGTCTGGCAAGCTTTTGTGGTATAAAATTCTTAAGTGATATATTTTCAACATTTTGTGATGCAGAAATCTCAATAATTATCTTATATATATAACGGGTTAATCGATATAATTACTGATAAATATTGTTTGAATATTTAACATTTTGATTAAGGAATCGATCTTGCATTTTCCTATTTACCTGCTTTGAAAAAAATTCCACTAATTTAAGAATATTCTTTTCCTCCTCAATCAGATATTGTCCGACTACTGAGAAAATTATATCTTATAATTTCACTGTGAAAATATCAAAACCAAATTTCACTGTCCACTAAAAACCATTTTATATTTTATATGTAAATGTGTAGTTACAGTAAGTTTTCCTTGAGATTTTTTATATTTAGATACATTGTAATAAATAGGACACATTCTTATTATAAACTTGGTATGAGGTAATTGACTCTGGAGTGTATTTCTGTACAATATCTGTGAAGATTATGTTCGCAAAAGGTTTACAAAAAGTAAGATGCCTGATTAAATATTTATGAAATAATCTGTTTATTCATTTATCAATGGCATTAATCTAAAAAGTAATTGGCATGTCAATTATATTGGACAGTTGATACAATACTTGATCTTCCTTCTGAAAGTAATAGACAGTCTTTCTGAAAATAATGTGCCAAAATATAAATTAACAGTTTCTTACTTAAGGAAACAATTGCTTGCCTTTGACAGGGTTTGAACTTTTGTGCCCAGCGATCCTTAGATTACTAGTTTGATGTGTTAACCACTCCGTCGTGCCCTCGCTTCTATTTATTTGATTTTTATGCCACCGCAGCATCTGCGATGCGGTGGCATATAGCGATTCACCTGTGTGTGTGTGTGTTTGTTTGTTTGTTTGTGTGTGTGTGTGTTATATAGATTATATAGTGAACTTAAAAAAATCTTCTTGTGAAAAACCACTTGTCCAATTTCAACCAAACTTGGCAGGATTGATCCTTGGGTGAAGGGCTTCCAAAGTTGTTCAAAGAATTTAATTCCATGCAGAAATCTGGTTGCCATGGCAACCAAAAGGAATTATAAGAATAAATTTAAAAAATCTTCTTGTAAAGACCCAAAAGGCCTAGAGCTTAGATATTTTGCATAAGGCATTGTCTGGTAGACCTCTACCAAGATTGTTCAAATATATAGCCCTGGGGTCAAAAATCGGCCCGCCCTGGGAGTCATTGATTTTCACTATATGTACATATAGTAAAAACTTAAAATACCTTTTTGTAAAGACTCATAGGCCTAGAGCTTAGATATTTTGCATAAGGCATTGTCTGGTAGACCTCTACCAATATTGTTCAAATTATAGCCTGGGGTCAAAATCAGCCCTGCCCCGGGGGTCATGGATTTTCACTATATGTACATATAGTAAAAATTTAAAATACCTTCTTGTAAAGACCCAAAAGGCCTAGAGCTTAGATATTTTACATAAGGCATTGTCTGGTAGACCTCTACCAATATTGTTCAAATTATAGCCCTGGGGTCAAAATCAGCCCTGCCCCGGGGGTCATGGATTTTCACTATATGTACATATAGTAAAAATTTAAAATACCTTCTTGTAAAGACCCAAAAGGCCTAGAGCTTAGATATTTTGCATAAGGCATTGTCTGATAGACCTCTACCCAGATTGTTCAAATTATAGCCCTGGGGTCAAAATCGGCCCGGCCCCAGGGGTCATTGATTTTCCTCATATTTACATAGTAAAAACTTATAGTAAAAACTTTAAAGAAATTTCTTCTAGCAATTGACAAATGCTAGAGGTTAGATACTTTGCATGAAACATTGTGAAGTGAACCTCTAGCAAGAATGTTCAAATAATAGCCCTGGGGTCATTGATTTTCAATATATACATATAGTAAAAAATAAAAAAAATCTTATTGTCTGAAGGTACAAGGCTTAGAGCTCTAATATTTGTTAAATGATATCATCTATAGGTACTCTACCAAAGTTGTTCAAATTTTGCCTCTAGTGTCAAAATTAAAAGTGAACTTTAATATCAGCTGACCTAGATTATGACAAAGTGTATTACATGTTGTCCTTTGATGCAGTCATGAAATTTTAGGCTGTGTGAAATACGACCTTCACCACCAAATTCACTAGACTCAAGTGCATTGATATATTCCTACTCTGATCTTTTATTGAGTTAACTATAGATTTAACCACTAATCTGATAATAAGAATTAGATATGCATTATGACAATCTTCAATTGTATAGAAACAAAAAAAATCTGTTCCTACACTACTATTTAGTGTTGTATTAATGAGGTGGCATAGCATTTTTCTCAAATGCAATCTTGTTTTATGGTATTTTTGGTAAACCTTTTGATGTGTGTAAAATTACCTCAACATTTTGTTAACACAAACTGCCTCAAAACATTTTTTTATTAAACTACAATAAGGTAGTTAGAATAGTCTTGGTCATGCATAGGCCACTGTACTTGGAAAGAGTTTTGAAAAACAGGTTAAACATCAACAAAAATAAATAAACCATACAAAATGTAAAAATAAATGATTGATTTATGCTGATTTTCAAGCTACATTATTGTTGTTGTTTTTTTTAAATAGAAATTGAAATCTACTATTGTTTGGTAAAAAGACCATGTTTGGATACCTCATTCAGGACCTTAAAGATGTACCAACACTCTTGAAATCTGTAATGTACATAAAATGACATACTCCTGACTTGATATCTGTAATGTACATAAAATGATATACTTATGTCTTGAAATCTTTATTGTATACATAAAAGCATGCCAAGTAATACAAATATGCGATATAAGTTGAATAGCATGTAATCTGATAAATATTTTAAATAGCAAACTCTTATCTGTTAGATGTAATGCACATATTTTAGCACAAAAAGTGTCTCAGTAGTCTGCGACTATTTCTAATATCCTCTTTTTGATATTGACCATGATGCCATCAGCTGTAACAACACAATAAAAAGTTTCTGTATATATTGACACATCTTCACTTGTCTGTTACTCTTTAATCTTAATTTACAGAGTTTTATTTCTTCATTTTTGACTGGCAACTCGAGGCCAGACAAGTCTAGCTGATCTGCTATTTAACACTCGGGACATGATCAGGCTAGGAATGCGAGAGATAGATATTGGTTAAATTGTTAACTTGCTCAATTTGTTTGATGGGTTGTCTAGCTTTCATTTCTGGAACTATCTATTATCAATAGTTTGGTATATCAAGATGAAAACTGGAAATTAATCAGCAAGCTGTAATAGAGCCTGATTACATTGTATTAATGTGCAGACTGGCCTGGCTCTAACCTGGTAGCAAAGGCTAATCACTTTTAAAGGTTCAAGCTTAAGGAATAATGTCGGGTTGTTTTTTATGTGTTCTGTGAAACAGTTATGTTCTAACTATATTCATGTAAACAACTTTTTATGAAACATAAAAAGTACTAAGACACTTGACCATAAACATTCTTAACTGAAAGGATTTGTAAAAAAACCCAACTTTTAAACTCTTTTTATGCAAGGCTCAAAATTGCAATAAATGGTAAATTTTGTCAATCATTAAGCATGCTGTATGGATACATGAATGTGACCAAGTTCAGCAGG